TGCATTCCCTGAAGCCCAAGCAAAGGGTAATCTGAAATACAGGTGTAGATACTGAGAAAGTATTGAGACCTTTCACAAATCAGTAGGTGTAGATACTGAGAAAGTATTGAGCCCTTTCACAAATCAGTAGTTTCCAATTCCTTGTTTTCAACAAAATTGAAGGAGGACCTAATCTAGTCGTCAGCTGACAGATCATTCACATGTTTTACAGTAATGATTTCAGCATATAATCAGAAAGGTATTCAAAGAATTGAGTGACACTTACATGACAAAACTCCAACCAGTCCCATCTACCAATTTATGAGAACTATGTTTCTCAGTACTTACATCTATAAAAAGAAAAATTAGGAAGAGAACTGACAGTGAATCCTGTCTCATTCAGGCAATAAGTAATATTCATTCATGGATACCCAACTAAACTCATTAGGGAAAAAGATCATTTACATGATCTTTTTACATAAAATTTACATAAAATTTTACATGTTTAACAACTACTAATTAAAATAGATTGTATATAAATCAATGTGATTTTAATTTAATCTAAAAGAAAAATTTATACCCAAGCCTTAAGGTTACAGAACATTTTTTTAAATCACAAGTTGTTACAAGGAAGCAGTAAGGGTAATCACTAAAAGATTTTCAAGTTCAAAAACATATTACACTGGGTCAAGCTCTAAGGGAGAGGTGGAATTAAAAAACAAGTTAAAAAGAATAAGGAATAATGTAAGTCTTCTCACTGTTAATATTAATGTGATTCTTAAATCGATGGTGGTGTACAAACTTCCAGTTATAAGATAAATAAGTACTAGGGATGTAATGTAAACATGAGCAATATAATTAACATAGGTGTATGTTATATATGAAAGTAAGAGTAAATCCTAAGAGTTCCCATCATAAGGAAATTTTTTCTATTTTTTTTAATTTTGCATCTATGAGATGACAGTTGCTCACTAAACTTACTGTGATAATCATTTCATGATGTATGTACACCAAATCATTATGCTGTACACCTTAAACTCATATAGTGCTATACATCATTTATAACTCAAACTGAAGAAAAAATAACATCGAGGGACTTCCCTGGGGGCAGTGGTTGAGAATCTGCCTGCCAATACAGGGGACACGGGTTAGAGCCCTGGTCCGGGAAGATCCCACATGCCTCAGAGTAACTAAGCCCGTGCGCCACAACTACTGAAGCCTGTGTGCCTAGAGCCCATGCTCTGCAACAAGAGAAGCCACCACAATAAGCCCATGCACCGCAACGAAGAGTAGCCCCCACTCACCGCAACTAGAGAAAGCCCGTGTGCAGCAATGAAGACCCAACACAGCCAAAAATAAAATTTTTTTTAAAAAAATAAAACCTGGAAAAGAAAATTTTAAAAAATAATAACATCGAAAAAAGCAAAAGGTGGAAAAATAGATAATGATGGCAAATATTAAATGACTACAGTATTCAGACTCCATGCATAAGAATGATGTGACACTTCTATTTAAAAAGTCAATACAGAGACTTCCCTGGTGACGCAGTGGTTAAGAGTCCGCCTGCCAATGCAGGGGACTCGGGTTCAAGCCCTGGTCTGGGAAGATACCACATGCCGCAGAGCAACTAAGCCCATGCAACACAACTACTGAAGGCTGCAAGCCACAACTACTGAAGCCTGTGAGCCTAGAGCCCGTGCTCCACAACAAGAGAAGCACTGCAATGAGAAGCCTGCGCACTGCAACGAAGAGGGGCCCCCGCTCGCCACAACCAGAGACAGCCCGCACACAGCAAAGACCCAACACAGCCCAAAAATAATTTTTTTTAATAAATTTATTAAAAAAAAATGAATAAGAGCAGCTGACACATTAACATGGAGCAAGAAAGCAAAGATCTGACACCCACAATAATTGAATATGGCATCTGTATTACCTTAAAACCTTATAATCAAATCAAAACATCAGGGAAACAGGTATGTGAAAAGGATCACTCAAGTCATCCATACATCCGCTCTTCACATCTCAGAATCACTCCAGATGCAGTTTAGGGTAGTAGTTAAAAGATTCAGCTGTGGAGCCGAAATGCCTGGCTTAATGTAGTGGTTGAGTGATATTGGGTAAATCACCTAAGCTCTCCTAACTGTGAGTAATCTAACTGTGCCTCAGTTTTCTCATCTCATACTAAGTGCTCAATAAATGTAAGTTACTATTAATATTACAGGGAAGAAAAAAAATTTCCAAGGACTGCCAATAGGCCTTGACTTCCCCTCTGTTAACAGTTCATCAAAAATATTAATACTAAGCAAATCCTAGTATTGGGGGTTTTAAGTTAATGATTGCATTAAGTATAATATTACACCTAGTGGGTACTCAATGAAGATAATTAGCCTTATGACATGCTTACCCAAACTCCATAGGCTTGGGGTTCATACCATCTATAGAGGAAATGATTTAAGAGCAAGAGACTAGCAAATGCAATGTACTCAACTAAGTTACCTTGGAGTATTACATATCCAAAAGTTGTTTGGTTTAGTTTTATTTTGTCCTGTTTTCCACTTATAAGCCATGTATCCGTAGTAGTCTACAACAGCAGCAAAGGGAACAGACAGTATTCAATTCTGGAGTTAGGTTACCTGGTCCTTACACAGCTAAAACTCTACTGTGAACTTTTTTTCTTTCTAATCATTTCAATTAATCTCCACTTGGGGCACAAATGCACCATAGGATATGAGAGCAAGGAGGCCTCAGGCACCTTAATCAACCTTGTCCCATTTAGTCTTTAGGCACCAAGAATGGTATTCTTAGCAAGCCTAAATAGGAAGAGCACTTCAGAATCTGAGACGTGGAAGTGACCTTACAGGCCACCAACCCAAACCAAAATGAAGGAATAATCTTTCCAACCTCTCTTCATCCACCTCTGCCTGAAAATATGATGGTGGTGGTAATAGTGGCTGCAGCTATGCCCCAGGCACTGTGCAAAACATCTGCAACTGTGAAGTGAGAAAATCCTAAAAGAAAACACAAGATGGAATTTTTCAGACCCCTGTAAAAAAGGATAAAAGCCTAAAGTTTTAATACAATGGTTACAATATTAGCATAAACCAAAAAATACATTATTCATCTCTAAATGATACACCATCATTTCATTCAATTTAGTTCAACAGAGACCAAACACCAAAGATACCATTACTACAATTACTGTTAAAAGATGATCCCTGGGCTTCCCTGGTGGCGCAGTGGTTGAGAGTCCGCCTGCCAATGCAGGGGACACGGGTTCGTGCCCTGGTCCAGGAAGATCCCACATGCCGCGGAGCGGCTGGGCCTGTGAGCCATGGCCGCTGAGCCTGTGCGTCCGGAGCCTGTGCTCCACAACGGGACAGGCCACAACAGAGAGAGGCCTGCATACCGCAAAAAAAAAAAAAAAACATGATCCCTGCAACCAAGGAGTGTCCCCTTTATTCTCAGTAAAGCAGTGATTGGTTCACAAAAATGTAAGAGATAAAACACAGTCAAGTCAAGGGCACCTGGGTATAAATCCCAGCTCTGCCACTGGCTACAACAGCTTAGGCAAGTCAGTTAACCTACAAAAATGAAGATTTTATAAAGTATACGTATAACAAATTTGTTATCAAGTTGTTTAAGCAACTTCCAAGTTACTAAAAAAATTAAGTTGTAATAAAGTTATATAGGGAAATAATGTTGTTATAAAAACAAGATGTGATATATAATGTGCACTAGACTGGTCAGTTTCCTTCGTTTCCTGGTGAGCTAAGAATTTCTTCATACCTCTCACAAATTTTACTTATTACCTGCCTTAATCCTAACAAGGTTAAATATGGCACACTTAAGTTTTGTATTTTTTTCCAACTCTATTTCTGTACACAACTCCTATCTTTAGGGACATCCTACCTACTATACTCTTAAGATATTACAAATATCAATACTTCAGTAATAGGAAATTTAACTCAACCCAAAACTATAATATTTTTTTAATCTATGCACATGGGAATTCAAATATAAAGACAGTTTTGTACTACAAATGTTAAAATAACAGAACAGCTCATAAAGAAAGTAATTTAACTCCTTTAGCTAGGGTATCAGTAGAGTAACAGTTTGCCCCCAAACCATTCCCTACTCCAAGCTCTAAGACACTTCCAATTATGAATGTATGAATATGGCCGATTATATTGCTAGTAAAACTGAGATCTGACTGCTGAAACATTTACAGATATTAAATTCAAATAGTCGAAGGCCACCGCCCCCTGATTCCTACACATATACAATGAAAGAGAACTATGCTATTAAAAAAAAAAGAGAGAACTATGCATCAGATCCCGCCCCCAAATACTATAGAGTCCAGCTCGTCGGGGTCATTCTTTCACCGAGTAAACATTTATTATGTGCCTACTGTGTGCCACGCATTGCACAGGCAGTGAACAAAACTGACCCCCAAATCCTTTCCTTCTTAATAATTGTAATGTCTCCCTGTGAGGTTAGGCACTGGGAGACCAAGCCCTGGTTGTCCCTAACCCAAAAGGGTTAATCACACTGACATCCGCACCCGAACCCAACCGACTCCCTTGACTTGCGGACACAGCCGCGGCCGCTGGGTTCTTTAATAATTGGACCAAGACCTCTTGGGCAGGCTGGGGAAGCCCATGGCCTTGACCCTCCAAGGCAGCCCAGCAAAGAAGAAGGAAGGGACGTTCACCCACCCCCCCACGCCACGTGTGCACCCCGGCGCACGCCCCCGCCGCCCTCCGCCCGTCTTGCGCAGGCGCTGCCGCCGTCCAGCTCGCGCGTTCCCTGCACGCCGCTCGCGACTTCTGACTCGGGGCCCGGACCCGCGTTAGGCTGGAAGGTGTTTTATATTATCAAAGCTAGACTTTCTCAAGGCAGTTTGTCCTTTGGCCAGGGGGAAGATGAGTTTTCTAAATGACTTAACCCCCCACCACCAGCCCCCGTCCCACGAGGCCGCGACCCCGACCCCGACCAGGACCCCACCGGCCGTCGCCTCTTACCGGCGCACTGGCCCCGGCGCCCCGGCCTCCTGGCTCTCGGCGGCCGCCTCGCGGACCTCCTCCTCCTCGGCCTCCTCGGCTGCCCCGGAAGCCCCTGCCGCGGCCCCGGCGGCCGCCTCCATCCCCGCCGCCGCCTCTCGCCACCGCCGCCGGGGCGCCCGCCCGCTCGCGGTCGCGATCCCCGCTAGGCCGGCCGCGGCCGGGTCGGCGTCCTCGGCCGCCTCGAGCTCCTCGCTCCGCCTGCATTTGGCCGCCGCCGGCGGTGCTGAGCGCTCGGGAGCCGGGCCGCCGCGGAGACGCCTTTGCCCCACCGGAAACGGGCCGCACGGAGGAGCCGCGAGCTACGGGCCCCCGGTGACAGCGAGTGCGGGGTGCGGGGCCGGGTATGAGGCTGGCCGCGGCGGGGGCGGGGCGGCCCCGGGGCCTGGCAGGCGGGGCCGGGGGCTCAGAGGAAAGGCCTGACCAGTAGAAGCTGCAAGTGGGAGACAGTGGTGTTTCTTGGGGGAAGGGCCGTAGTAAGTAAAAGGATGGGTTATAAAATAAAGTTTATATAATATGAACTCGTTTTTTAATAAAAGAAAGGCATACTGATACGGTGTATTTGCCTAAGAAGAGGTCTTAAAAAGTATATACCAAAACATTAGTGTTACCGAGTCCAAGCTCCTGGTGCATGCTGCAGGACACGCCAATAAATCCGAGAGATGGCTTGTTGGGGCAAGGAGTAACGACTTACTTGGAGACAGCAAACCGAGAAGACAGTGGACTCCTGCCCCCAAGGAACCAGCTACCTGCGTTGGAGCTCAGGCTTCTTTTATACTAAAACGGGAGAGGGCAAAGTCAAACATGTCCTCTTCCTCCCTGCAGTCATTCACAGGTGGGCCTGGTCAGGATGTTATCTTGTGAGCTAAAAAAAAGGTATTTTAGCTTAATGCTCACCACCTGGGAGGCAGGGTTCCCAGAGATGGGCCATTATGTATAATTGAAGCTTACAAGGCAACAGCCGTTTAGTGACTAACTTGTAATCGAATACTAAGGTTCTTCCCTATTACATTAGTGGTTAACTGCGGGGTGAGACTTCCAATGAGTTAATTTTTCCATTTTTTTTTCTATTTAGTCTTCTGATCTTCAAGAATGAATAGGTGTAATAAAGTTCCTTCATATCTCTGGGTTCAGGAGGAGGTATGAAGGAAGCGGGGGGCGGCCCTCAGGTGAGAGGTGTGGCCTGCAACAAGCCACTGGGAGTAGAGAGAACAGTGCGGCCTGTCATGGACAGAAGGGGCTCCCAGGACGTCAAAAGAATTTTTATAGAAATGGCTGCTTTAGCTCACACTTACTGAGCACATGAGCATTTTAATTCTCCTGTCAGTGCTGTGAGGTAGGTACTACTGTCATCCTTATTTTACAGATAAGGAAATACCCCTAGAGAAGTTAAACCACTTTTCTGATGTGACACAGCTACGATAGTGGTGGAAATGACATTCTAATTCAGGCAAGCTCAGTCTATTCATGTTTGTGTGTCAGTGTCACTTAGTAGACAGTTTTGGGGACTCACCCATATTTTATGATTTAATATCTTGTTCCTTTTTATTGCTAAGCAGTAGTTCACTTTATGGATCCAGTCTATTTTAACCAAGGGGGGAAAGGGCAGTTTGTTATATGGATACATGGGAGCCATTTTTAACTTTGTATTACCAGGACTTACCTGGTGGCGCAGTGGTTAAGAATCTGCCTGCCAATGCAGGAGACACAGGTTTGATCCCTGGTCTGAGAAGATCCCTACATGCCGTGGAGCAACTAAGCCCGTGTGACACAACTGCTACTGAGCCTGCGCTCTAGAGCCCACGAGCCACAACTACTGAAGCCTGCACACCCTAGAGCCCGTGCTCCACAACAAGAGAAGCCACAGCAATGAGAAGCCTGCACTCGCCACAACTAGAGAAAGCCCGTACGCTGCAACAAAGACCCAATGCAGCCAAAAATAATAAAATTATTTTTTTTTAAAAAACTTTGTATTGTAGAAACCACATGAAAATAATACAGAGAAGGGTTAAAACATCCATCATCCAATCAGTGTGGCGAAACAGGTGTTTTTTTCCCAATCCTTTCTGTCCCTTTCTTACATTCATACATAGTTAACACTGTTCATTGCTTCTAATTATCTACTCTGTGTTAGGCACAGTGCTTGGTCTTGAAGATTTAGAAAAAAAGAAAAGAAAGAAAAGCCACAATCCTTGCTCTCAAGTATGAATAGCTCACTTCCCAGAAGGAAGATAATAACTCTGTAAGCAGGTGATTGCACTATTGTGCTGACTGCAGTGAGAGATTCAAGGTGAAGTCTGGAAGGAAGAAAAGTTAAACTGCCTAAATGAGTCTCCCAGGGCTTCGTGAGAAACAGACCCAGGAACCAAATCCTGATGGTTGATCAGGAGTTTGCCTGGTTGATAAGTGGGACTAGAGAACTGCTGAAGGGTTGTAAATTGCAATCTTGAACAAAGTAACGCAGAGCACAGTTCTAAGTACTTCCCATATAGCACTTCCTTTAGACCTCACAGCAGCCTTATGACGTACTACTAGTGTCATCCCTGTTTCACAGATGAGGGATCTAAGACGGAGACGTAAAGTAACTTCCAAATCACACAGCTAGTGAGTAATGGAATGATTGGAACCCAGGGCAGTCTGGCTTCAGATTCTATGCTGTTAACCACTGTACTCAGAAAACCATTCTGTAGAGGAGAATCAGAATTCCAGGCAACCATCAGGAAACTACTGGAAGAGTCCAAGCCACAAATAATTAGGGTCCAAATTGAGAGCTAAGAAGGAAGATAATGGGACAGATAGGAGATGGGAGAACTGATAGGACTTCGTGTCCAATTCTAAGTGGGGAGGTCAGGGTGAGAAGTTAGGGGTGACGCCCAGGTTTCTTGCTTGAGTGGCCAGGCAGCTAATGATACTATTAGTCAAGAGAGGAAATACAGGGTTGGGAGACGAGATGTGTCAGAATAATGGTATTTTTTTTAACACTGTATTCTATTATATATTTTTCTCTATTCATTGTCTTAATAGTTAACATTTTTGTCAATAGACACTGTCACTTCTCACACAGTACATCAATTTTTCTTTCTTTTCCCTCTCTACTCCAGCCTTTCCCATTTTTTATTCCTCCACATCCTATTTCTCTTTCTTTTTACCTTATCTTTTTTTGTGAAATAAACACTGTCAATGGCACTCAGAATTAAATTATTCATCCTCATGCTCAAATTCACAATCCCACCCCTAGAGAAACACTAAACAAGCAGATGGGAGTAGTAACAAGAATTTTATCCTTTACTCTGCACCCCATAAAGGAACCAACAGGAGAACCCCTTGGACAACCTGGGCCCCCATCCTCTATGTGGCCAGGAACTGTAATGGTTTGGTACATTATCTCTTCCTAATTCTACGTGCAGTGACATAAAGTTGCTTGCTTGAAACGGGTTACAGTGGGAATTTTTACACCTCGGAAATTGGCAAAATTCTGCAAATCAGGACTTTGTTTCCACCCCTATCAGTGGGGGTGGAAACAGGTTGTTAAATATTTATCAACACACCACAGATTCAGGCTGTCACCAAGATGAAGATCCACATATTAATCTCACACCAGACAGCACAAATCAGGGCTTCTCAACTCTGGCACATTTAGGACTTGGTAATTTTTTGTGGTGGTGGTGGCTTGTCCTGAGCATTGTAGAATTTAACAGCATCCCCAGCCTCCAGCTACTAGGTGCTACCCACTGGCAACCCTCCCTTCCCCCAATTATGACAACTAAAAATGTCTCCAGACATTTATCCCAAGGAGCAAAATCACCCTGCATGAGAACCACTAGCAAAAATGGATTTAACTGTATAACTATCCCTGAAGAAGCCTCCAAAATTATGACATTGAAAAGATCAGTGTGGTGGGGGGAGGCAGGAATTCCCTGGCAGTCCAGTGATTAGGGGTCCACACTTTCACTGCCGAGGGCATGGGTTCAATTCCTGGTCGGGGAAATAAGATCAGTGGGTTTCAGATTAAGCCAACTTCGTTCGAGCAGAGAGACTTGTTTGTGAGTAGTAAAAGGTAACATTTATTTAACATTTACTTTGTGCCTGGCACAATTACAAGCACTTTACACACACGCATTTAATCTTCATTAATATTTCTATGAAGTAAATACTATTATTCCTATTTTACAGATAAGAAAACTGAGTCACAAAGGAGTTCAATCATTTGCTCAAGCTAATGAGTGACAAAACTGAGATTCATACCTGGTCAGTCTGGTTTCAGAATCTGTGCCCTTATGTCTATGCTGTAGATGCCATCAGAATTCCAGGGACTACATCACTCTGACCTCCCCATCTATGATTTCAAGGTTTTTTCAATTCAACCAGGAGTGTTTAGGATATGGAGAATTTGAAGGTCTCCTGCTAACACTTCCTAATTGGAGGACATCACTGACAGAAATTCTTTTAACCAGTATGTTGAGAATGCTTTCCTCATTTGATTCTGATCCACACGGGAAAAGTGTCATCAAGGATGAAAATGGCACACAAGTACCTACTGCATTGCAAAAAAAACAAAAAACATCAGAGAACTTTTAGTTTTATAAATACCAAAGGGAAGGAAGATTTTCTGCAACTGTTTTGACATGACAGTCCTGATTTTAAATATATGCCATTGCATAAATAAAAAATTCAGTTTTCCCTTAGGTAGTATTCATGAGATATCTAAAACAAAGTCCTGAATTACATAGGTATCTCCTAAGAAAACATACCGCACTTGTTGCATATTTTAAAATATACATGACTGGGCTTCCCTGGTGGCGCAGTGGTTGAGAGTCCGCCTGCCGATGCAGGGGACGCGGGTTCGTGCCCCGGTCCGGGAAGATCCCACGTGCCGCGGAGCGGCTGGGCCCGTGAGCCGTGGCCGCTGAGCCTGCACGTCCGGAGCCTGTGCTCCACAACGGGAGAGGCCACAACAGTGAGAGGCCCGCATACCGCAAAAAATAAATTAATTAATTAAATAAAATATATATGACCTAATTTTTTTAAATGAAGCCAATTCCTTAAGGTAATAGTTCTCAAAATGTGGACCAGCAGCATAGCATCACCTGGGAACTTATTAGAAATGCAAATTCTCAGGCCTCACCCCAGAATCAGAAACTCTGGGGATGAGGCCCAGCAATCAGGAGTTTCACAAACCCATCAGGTGATCATGATGCGTACCCAAG